TTGAGTGTTGCTAATAGGATTTTAGCAGGGAAATTGTGCTTTCAGTCAGGAAAATTATGTGGTGGTTAACACCTCCTTCCCCAATAGTACTGCAATTTGCCTTTCTCCTTCGCTTCTTTTAATTAAAAAAAAACACCACACCAAGAGATTTGATCACAAATCTCTTACATTGTGTGTAGCCTGATTCCACAACAGCAACAGGAACTTCTCAGTTTGGAGGCATTTTTGGCTGAGAAGTTCCTGTGGCTGTGCCTCTTTGGGAGTCCCCGTTTGCAGTCCTGATGAAGGCATCGAAAATTTATGGCATAATCTGGAGGATGAGTTGACTGCAGCCTATTTCTTATTGTTTGTCTCAAGTCTTAAGGACTGGATCTACTTGCTGCTTACAACACGCTATTTACAACATACTTTATATTGTTTAATATCGTTTTTCTTAAGTACTTGCTTGATGGACCTTTGAAGATTATATTATGCAGCCCATTAAAATTGTGAACTGAGAATCTGTGAAATCTTTCTTTTGGGAGTGTCAAATAGTAAATGTTAGATATTGCTTTAAATCTCCAGCCTATTTATTGCAGTTCATGTATTTCACATATTGAATATTGCTGTTTTTAAGTGAGTCATCAAACCAAAAAGGTTGAGAACAACTGTTCTAGATGATGTGTCCCTTTTAAAAAAATGCACCTGATTTCTGTCTTCTCTTTGAAATGAATCAGAACTTGTTTGTCTGAATGTATGACAGCATCAATTATTTCAAGATTCTTAAAAATTAATTTTCCTGTACTATTTGTGATGTCACTAAAACCTCTGAGGAAATCCTGCATTGGAAAAAGGAACCCTATTTGAAGACCAAACTAGATGTGAAGGGAAAAGCCATATTTATTGTTGAAATGTACCTGTTCATGTATAAAGAAACCATGGGACAAAATTGCCAAAGAGGTCTCTGTCCCTCAGAAGCTTGCTTCCAACCCCAGTCTAGTAGAAGCAGTTCTAAAACAGGGTATGTTCTGTAAAGCCAGTATCATGTGGCAGCCAAAGAGTTGGATTAGGACCAGGGAAACCTGGGTTCAGATTCTCAGACAGTATTGAAGCTTGCTGGGTAACCTAAGACCATCCATTCTCTCTCACTCTAACCTTCCTCAGAGGATACTCTGGAGACCATGTGTGCTGCCCTGAGCCTCTTGGAAGAAAACAAACATGAAAATGTGATAAGTAACTGATCAGTCTGTATGAACCTTGGGCCAAAATAAATGCAATAGAGATTGTCACCTTAATATTTACATTTATGACCCTTCAGCATATAAAATGGAGGATGGGGTTTAATCTCCCCCCCCCAAAAAAATAAAGTACACGGAAGTAAGGAGAACAGAACCTCCTCCCCTCCACCACCTTTTCTCCCAGGCCCAAGGAGGGTTAAGCTGCTCTTTCTCTTTTCATATCACATAAGGCATTTCCCGCACTCTCTTTCACCCCCCTCTCTCTGTATCATAGTGAGGCTATGGGAAGCAGGGAAATGGGCAGTGGACAGGAAGTTCCAGTTTCCCCCATTTTTGTGCACTTTTTTTGTAAAAATTGGACCCTGTTGAAGGGGCAAAGATATAAATAAGCAATGATGGCTGCCTCCATCCAGTCTAGTTTGGCACTGACTACGGCTCATATTGACTGATTATCTTCATGGGAAACACTCTGTCAGGTTCAGTAACCATCCATCCATCCACCTATCATCCACCTATCATCTACCTATTATCTACCTATCATCTACCTATCATCTAGTATCTATCATCTAGTATCTATCATCTAAAACATTGTAGTAATGGTTTTACATGGTTTTAACTTGTTTTTATGTGTTGGCTTATGCCTATCTGTGAGCCGCCCTGAGCCCGCGTTGCGGAGAGGGAGGGCTATAAATTGAAATTATAAATAAATAAATAAATCTATCTATCTATCATCTATCTATCATCTCATTAGATTTGCTAGGCCTTCCCTACAAGTAGGACTCAGGCCAGTTTATAAAATATAATATACAATTTCTCAGATTAAAATCTTGATTAAACGACCAATAAATACTAGTGGGTAAGAACAAGACGCTGGAAACAAACTTCTGAGATACAGAGACCTCTTTGCCGATGTCTATTATGTTCCTTGATATCTTCAAAAATTAGTTCAGGTAATGCAAGTAACCCCTAAAAAAATCGCTGCAAAGAATTGTCCTTCAGATACCAAGTATGCAGAGCAAAAATGAAGATTTTAAAAAAGATACTCATATATGCGTTATCCACATGCTTTTAAAAAGGGTTATAGTGAAACATGCATGAAAAGAGATCTGAATAATTTGAACGTTCATGGCGAGCACTTTCATCACTTGATTCAATAACTTAATGGTGGAAATCCACTTGCTATGTTTCATTTGGAGGGATACTATTTATCACTTTTGTACCCCACCTTTCCTCCAAGAAGCTCATGATAGCTTATCTTATTTTATCTTCACAATCCCAGGAGGTAGAGGAGAAGTAATGATAGGCTGCGGTCACACGGAACAGAAGCCACACAAGTGAGACGGAAAACAGGTGGAGTTTCCGGGCGCGATCTCACCAGCACATCTGGGAAGCGTAGCACTCCCGTGGCACAACCGAGGCTTCCAGCCAAAACTGTGTGGCAAAAAACTAGTACCTCGGAGGTACTAGTTTCCGGAAACTGCGGGGCAAGGGCGGGCGTCTGATCACGTTTCCGGTGGCATCCGGCGCCCGCCCATGTCCCCTTGCAAATAAGGTGTGTGGGTTTTTTGTCCACGTCTCTGTGGATGCGCACACACACCCAACGGAGCATGCGCATTCGTCGTGTACACACAAAACAAAAACAGTTTGCCGCGGCGCGCGCTTCTTCGTTGCGCGCCGGCTTGTCCTGTGATCAGCACCTCTCCCTTGCCATGGAACCTCCACAGTACCTCCACAGGACCTCCACAGGAGGTCTGATCGAGTAACTGCGCAGTAGTTTGCCCCAGGGCAAACAGCCACGCTTCTCCCACGCAGTTTCCTGCCCGTGTGACCGGGGCCATAGTTCCCCTTCCATGTGCTTCATGGTTAAGCAGGGATTTTCTCCGCGGTTTCTTCCTGATCAAAATTCAGTATTACATCCCCATTAGTTATTACTGTGATCCATCTTCAAAAAAGCAATGTGTGTATATAGAACATGAGAAGTACACAAACAAGAAGGCATTGTTTGTTATTGTTGCTGTAACACTTTTTCAGTGGAATTTAGTCTGATGTTTCAGCCACAGTTAACTCTGCTAAAGGGACAACAACAGTAACTTGTCCCTTCAGCAGAGTTAACTGTGGCTGAAACATCAGACTAAATTCCAGCTGTAATTGCTCTTGTGAGCATTACTTCTTTAGCTATTTGTTGAGTTTTAGTTTTTGAGGTACATCTATAGCTTGTGTTGCTCCTTTTAACAGCAGAAGCAGCAAACAAATTTGAGACTATCCTGTATTTTTTGTTGTTTTTCTAAGTAGGTAGGGAGAGGAAAAAAGAGACCAAGCATTTCACTCGCTAAAACAGTCTTTCTCAGCATAATGATAAGTTATCTGCCATCTTTAATCAAATGTTCCATCTCTAAGACCTTAGAGAGCTTTTCCTAATCTGAATTTGATGGTAATGAAGGTGTGGGAATAATCACTTTGCTACTGAGAGCAATAGTGACAGCGGGAACAGAAAGTTACCTGTGCTGAAGCAGAGCTGTCTGCACAGCTGGAATCTGACCTACTTCTAAATCTCAAGGCTTTCTCCAGCAGACAGTATGCTTGTGCTGTATTTCATGCTATTATCCCTGGTTCCTGACAAGTACCAAGATTGCTTTTCAACCTGGCCTGTTTTTAATTGGGGCAGTACTGAAGCGGAAGTAGGGGGCACCCAATCCAAGAATCCAGTGGAACTCACAGAGGATAGACAGTTTCCATACCTGAAGGATACTGTATTTTAAAATTAGACTGTTTGATGAAAATGCTACCAATTTTAATCGTTACTTACAAGTCAGCTGCAGTTTAGCTAAGCAATGGCAAGTTCTAATCCAGCCGATTCAAATATATTATGTGGCACAGACATGGACTGTACCAATTTATGCTGTGGGGAGTACCCAGGGACAGCATCAGTATACCCAAGGTGAGGCATCTGCCAGGGCTCAGGGCTTCTGGCAGGGCCAACTGCCACCAGCTCCCACCACACACCTCCTCTGCTACCTGCCTGTGTGCCCTTCCATCGCCCACTTGCTTGCAAGCACAGCACCTCCTGTGCTCTTAGCTACCTGGGCTGCCTAGCACTGCCAGGGACAAGTGTATGGATAGTGACAGTCACAGCAATGGCACTCCCAGCAGTGGCACTCCCAGTGCCATTGAGGAAAGGCTAAGCAGGTGGCTTTGGGAGGGGTCATCATGAGCAGGCAGGGAAAGACGCATACACAGGCAGGAGCAGGAAGAGAGGTCTAAGTGAGGGCATAGGAGGGGAGAGGTGGTGGGCACAGGAGGGGAGGTGGGCTGAACACTCTCTACCCAGGGCCCATCAAAACCTGGAACCAGCCCTGGCTACTATCTTACTTTAAAAGCCCACTGCCTGTGGAACACTAGCATGCCAGGGAAGAAAGTTCTAGTCAAGCCCTTGTCCTGGCATGCTAATTTTTTATCTGCAGAAAGCTCCCCCCCCCCACATGTGGGAATACTCAGCCTCCCCTCCTCACTGGCTGAAGTGGGTATACTAAGTGATAGCTTTGAATGTACAGATCAGCTCTGTTTCCATTTCTCATTTAAACCCAACAGGACAAATTAGTCAATCTTAGCCTGATTGTCTTGGAGAACTGGGGACCATTGGTAGCCCTAAATTATGAAATGAAATTATAAACATAACAAACAGGCAACTTATAAGTATCAAAATGGGTTCCAGATATTTCATGAATGAACTTTGCCACTCAAGCACTACCGAGCCACTAGTTTTATCAAAATCACAGCACTTACCTGTAGCAGTTATTATGGAATTTGTTATAGGAAGACAGAGTAATCAGACCACCCCATGCAGCAGATAAAGAGAAAAATATTTGAGTGGCAGCATCTTTCCATACCTACAACAGTCCAGGAAAGAAAATCAGCATTAACTTCAACAAACTACTTTAGAAAGTTGAAATAAATCAATAATGGCCTTGACTATGATTCAATGAGACTGTCAAAGACTCCTCAAGTGCTGCTTAATGAATTTTCCTGTGTGGCATTAATAACACAGGATATTCTGACCACTTATAAATAGTGCCGGTTGATCAAGTATTATTATCATAAAGATCTAACTAAGGGAGGAATGAGTAGGAAATATAAATACATTCCTGCATCTATCACAATGCTCAAGAATCCTAGTCCTCAGAGAAAAGAACAGTCAAAAGCAAAACTCTTACACTCTAAAAGAAACTACTTTGATTGCTAAGCACTGGTTTCAGTATTAATCCAAAGCATGTGACAATCTTGAAATGATAACAAAAATCCAATAAAGGTTACCTGTGTTAATGTTATTCATATTTCTGAAAATTGAGGTGTCTGCTCAATTTGAGAACATCTTGAACTACTGCCAATGCTTAGACATGTTACAGTTAAGTGACACTTATCCTGGAATTAATTAGCTTTGCCCCAAGTAGAAGCATTTTACTGTCCTTCACCAGGCACTAGAGATAGGCTGCAGTGACCTCTGGGAGGTTTGCCTTTTTCTCCATTTCATCAAGCCACTCTTTAGGCTATGCAGAGACAATATCTATGAAAGCCTCATAGTAACCAATGTCAGCAGCCTTGAGATAGCAACCAAAGGGCAAACCTAATCCAGCTTCTATTGCTAATGGTCAGATATTTTCTGATGTTCCCCTCCATGCAAAGACTTCCCCATTAATGGAGGGTGATAACCCATGGTTAATCTCTGTTGTTTTGTGGTATATGTGTGTTGGGTCCCACTAACAAACCCAAGCATGCAGAAGATTCTATGTAGATTACTACAGTTGCAAGGAGGGGGGCAATTTTCACTTATTCTCTCCCCACAGAAGGCCAAAATGCCCCCTGAAATGCTGCTTCTGGGGAACAGGGGACCCACCCCTAGGAACAGCTTGAGGACATCAGGAGGTCTTCCTGGGATGGGGAATAGGCAAAACTCGCTCACGCCTCCTAGGAAAGATCCAACCCAACATGTGCCTTAAAATGCATGCACAGAATTCTGGACTGCAATGAATGTGTCCACCAGGACACTGTGCCATCTATTTAAATTATTCAAATGACAACATACAATTTAATTTGTATCATTTAAGATTTGATTGTGTCTGAACAATGGGAATATTTGAGGGCAGAATAAATTGAAGCCACCATTCCACTGACTTTGGAGTTACACACAAAAAAGCTCTGTAAAGTATCCAGCATCTTACAAATCTTGTGGGAGTTTCGCACTTAGAACATGCATTATATATAAACAACAACACACACACAATCTGAACCTGATAGAGAAATATCCTTTTCTAGCTATGTTTTTGGGCTTCATCTGGACTTTTAATGAAATATCCCTGTTCCTGCCACTGTATTCTCAAGTTGTTTCCCTTTCTACTTGAAGTTGCTGCTTGAGACCTGTTCTTGTTCTTACATTATCCATCAGTCTTTCTAAACTCCCCTTATATGTCCCTCATTATCATCTGACTGTCCCTACAATACTCCCACAACTTCCCTCCTCCTCTCCCATTTATGCAGAGTAAATTGAAATGCCCTGGACAGGATTTCTCCATGTATACTTAAGTACATTAAATAATTATGTTGTATTCCTCAGTCATCCAATGAAAGTTCAAGATTGACAAAAGGAATTATTAACACACCACACCACACCAGTTGTAATTATGACCTCTGGTTTAGCTGTCTTTTCACAGTGGGGATAGTTACACCCAGGGGTCTTTTGGGGCTGGAGCACTGGGGCCGGGGGTAGGCCCGGAGAGTCTAGCAGCCGGGTTCCCTGGGCCCGCGCAGGAGCGCTGGGGCCGAGGGAAACCCAGAGAGCCCCGCAGCCGGGTTTCCCGGTCCCACATTGGAGCACTGGGGCCAGGGGAAACTCAGAGAGCCGTGCAACTGGGTCCCCCGGGCCTGCGCAGGAGCGCTGGGGCCGTGGGAAACCCAGAGAGCCCCGCAGCCGGGTACCCTGGGCCTGTGCCAGAGTGCTGGGGCCGGGGGTAGGCCCAGAGAGCCCCGCAGCCAGGTCCCCTGGGCCCACACCGAAGCGGTAAGTAAGGGATCCGTGGGGGTGGTGGGGGCTTGATGGGGGGTGAGAGAGCCTCTCTTTCTCCCTCCCTCCCTCTCTTTGCCATCTTTCCCTCCTTTCCTTTTTTTTCTTTCCCACCTTCTTCTCTTCTCATTTTTCCTCCTTTCCCTGTTTCCCTCCTTCTTCCCTTCTCTCTTTCATTCCCTCCTTCTTTCCTTCTTTTTCTTTCCCTCTTTCCTTCTCTATTTTTATCCCCTCTTTCCTTCCTGCTTTTCTTCCTTCTTTCCTTCTTTTTCTTTCCCTCTTTCCTTCCTTCTTTCCTTCTCTCTACTCTCTCTCTGTCCTTCCCTCTTTCCTCCTTCTGTGGCCCAACTCTAGTGAGAAGGGGTTTAAACTTTAAACCCCTTCTCTCTTTGCTCCCCCCCCCCCGCAGGTCAGCTGGGGAAGGGAAGGGGAGGCTTTTGAAGATGCCTTCCCCCCTTTGGCTTCCCCTTCTGACATCACTTCCGGTGATATCAGGGGGCATGGTATATGCTAATAGCCTAGTAGCTCATTAGCATACCATATGCTAATGAGCTCCTGCAGTTCTGTTTCTATGAAAAGACCCAGGTTACACCCATGGAAAATAAGTCTATCCGCACCTTTAAGCCATGGAAACAAGTGGTATTTCCACATTTAGAGGCAGTGTAACTTTAAGTATTGGATTCTGGGAATGAACCATCTTGTCCTGCATAATAATTTCCAAAAACATTCCAAAATGTTGGAATGGACAGAATCAGCAAGGGACTCTAATTGGATTTGCATTACAACCTTAATCTTACAAGTGAGCCTGTGAACGCCACACACCCAGCTCTCCATCACCAAATTCTTCATTCCTTTTCACATACAGCACACATACATTTTGGTGTAGTGGTTAAAAGTGGAGGACTCTAATCTAGAGAACCAGGTTTTATTCTCCACTCCTCCACTTGAAGCCAGCTGGGTGACCTTGGGCCTGTCACAGTTCTCTCAAAACACTCTCAGCCCCTTAAAAAAAACAAGTCTAGCTCACCACTAGCATAATGCTAAGAGCTAGAACTTGCAACTGCCAGGCAATCTTCAGAGCTCCTGGCCATTCTACACACAATGACATATGATAATAATAATTACTATTACATCATTGATATGAAGCAAACTTGGCCCGAAGTTTATGGTTATAGTCCACCACTACCCCAAGCAAGTTAGTGCTATCCACGAAAGCAAAAGAAGAACATGACATCAAGTTGCAGTCAGATCATGGCAACTGCATCCACAGGGTTTTGCAGGCAAGAGACAAGCAGAGGTGGTTTGCTATTGCCTTCGTCAACGTAGTAACTCCAGTCTTCCATCATGGTCTCCCATCCAAATAGTGACTGCAGCCAACCCTGCTTAACTTTCAAGGTCTGACAAGCTCAGGCTAAGTTGGGCTATTCAGGCTGCTAAGCAAAAAAGTAGTATCTTAAAGAAGAATAGTGTGAGCATGATTTTTCTTAATGCTTTGCTATCAGGTTGTCACACTGGCCATTTCTGACCGGCTTTTCTGTTGCAGGCATTAGGGAACTCTAATGCAAACTTTTGCTAGGCAAAATTTCATTGCTGACACAGCATTGTTCAGCACAACACGGCAAAGTTCCATGTGTTTTCTTAATACAGAGCAAATAATAAATCTGTATGAGTTATTCACCCTATTAGAGTGTTATAACTGGAATAATAAGCCCACCATAGCATCAATTAGTTTCTCCCATTTAGGTGTGATGAAGTACCAGATTCCAGCCCCAGCTCCTGGCAGGGTTACTCCTCTGATTAGCAAGATGATGAGTACTACATAAGGGAATGTAGCTGTAAAGTACACCACCTAAAGAGATCACAAAAAGACAAAGAATTTACTCTTTCAGCTTAGTTCTATAGGAAATATATCGCCTTCTTCTCTGCAAAGCATCACAGACAGTGATACTGGCCCATGGTAATCTGAGCCACCTACAGAGGATAAAAGAATTTTTAATGTCAGTATTTATACACTAGGCCCATTGTGGGAAGAAATACAACGAGCTCTAGAAGGAAGCTCCAGGTGAGTGTCCTGGCTGTGGCTGGTGGGGCGGCAGAGGGAAGAGGAAAATAGAGGGAGGCAAGCCATGTTTATTTCCTTCTGCTTAGCTATAAGGCAGGGCTGTCTCAAGTCATTTTGCTGCCCCAAGTGGGTAGTATGGGAGGACAGCCTCATGGTAACAGGCAGGGCTTTTTTTGGTAGAAAAAGCCCAGCAGGAACTCATTAGCATAATAGGCCACACCCTGACACCACAGCTCATTAGCATATTAGGTCGCAGCCCCCTGTTGCCAGAAGTGTGGTCATCCAGCCACACCCACCTTTTGCTTCTTATTCTGTTAACTTGTTTGTTGTCAAAACCCAGGGCTTTTTTTGTAGCAGGGACTCCTTTGCATGTTAGGCCACACACGCCTACTGTAGCCAATCCTAATGAGTTTCTGCTGTTGAGTGTGGCCTATTATGCTAATGAGTTCCTGCTGGGTGTGGCCAACTCAGGAGCCAGCCGGAACTCCGTTCCTGTGTGTCCCTGCCCAAAAATAGCCCTGGTAACAGGTATGGTTTCCTCCACCCCTGACTTATGTTGATTTGGGGTTATGCAGTGGCAGCTAAGGTAGAAAAGCAGCTCCTCCTATGCTATGTCTTCTGAATCCCAAGAGTCTGGAAAGCGGTTCCATAGTCAGTTACAGGGCTGCCAACTTTGGGTCGGGAAATACCTGTAGATTTGAGGAGTAGAGCCTGGGGAGGGCAGGGTTTGGGGTGCGGAGGGACCTCAACAGGGTACCATTCCATAGAGTCCATTGCCCAAAGCAGCCATTTTCTCCAGGAGAACTGATCTTGGAGATCCAGGTGCTGCCTGGAGACTGGCAATACTAAGGGGAGGGCCAGACCTGAAGATTTGAGGGGTAGAGCCTAGGGAGGGCAGGGTTTGGGGTATGGAGGGACTTCAGCAGGGTATAATGCCATAGAGTCCAATGCCCAAAGCAGCCATTGTAATAGCTGGGAAATTTTCTGTAGGGGAAATTATGTGCTGTGGCTGGGGAACACAGTGATTTCTGGGAGATCTCCAGGCCCTACAGGGAGCTAGGCAACTTTAGTGACCGTTTAAGGGAAGATTGGTATATGTATTTTGGCAACTCCAGTGACCATTTAAGGGAAAATTGGGATATATATTTTACCTCAGGACATATTCAATGACTTGCAACAACGGTTTAGAATGTTAGAGGCAAAGGCCAATCAGGCCGCATATACAAATGACCTCCGTGTTCCAACTGGCTATTGGGGGGAGAGGAACAGCAAACTGTTTAGAATACTGGAGGCAAGACTCAGGCAACACAGCCAGTGGATAGGGACAGCTTCTGAGTGAGAGATCAGGGATCAAACTGATTTGGGAGCGTGTGGAATGTTCAGGAGAGTCCATGACCAAAACAGAATTATTATATAGAGAGATGTGCATAAGCTAATGAAATAATAAAGTTCTAAAACAGTTCTTGTGGAGAATAACAGTTCATACATACAAGAGAAAAGAGACACCATGATTTAAAAGACACACACACATTCTACTACTGTATTTGACCATGAAAGTGATGAAAATAAATGTAGGTTAAATATTTGATACAAAATAGTGTGCTCTAAGACCCACATTAGAAATGCACTTACCACAATGATAGCAGCTGTTCCTTTGGCAGCTCCCAGAATGATAAGGGAACTCTATGGTCTTCCGCTCATGTGGTTTACATTGTGGTTAACAACTATACAGGAGACACATCCTCCCAAGGAGGTAGGTGTTGCCTGCATGGTTGCTAAAGGGATCTAAGGTTAAAGACAGACAAATGCTTTTAAAATAAGAGAACTGAAATCGAAGGTGGAATGATCAAGGCCTTGTATCTTGTGGAGATCTCCCTTTTCTTGTGGCCTACTGTCATCTAGGCTAAACAGGTTTTGCACAGATTTGAAAGACATAAGAAACATGGCAAAATGTATGGGGAAAAATGGTGGTGGAATGAGTGTAAACATGGACAACCATGCCTCTGTCCTTATACTACCTTCAACTCTCTGAAAAAAAGGACAAATCTGTTCTAGCCTAGGAGAGAGACAGGCATCCTACAGAGGCACAGAGCTGGCAATGGATATACAGTTAATTTAAGAGCTGAATGCTTAACAGAGTATTTCTTCATTGGAATTATTAGAAAAGGCATCTTGTGGAAACAGAATAATTCCTCTCCATTGACATGATTGATATTAAAAGAATATTTTGTTCTGTTCCAACTCTCCAGGGTGGCAGCCTGTCATTTTCTTGCACTGTTGTCAGTGGGGTATATGTTATCACTTAATGTGCTATTCATATGCTTGAATTCACTAGAAGATTTTCACATGCACTGGAAGAAATGTAAAATAACCTTTATGCTAGCCCTTTGTGCTAAGTTAAACATAGCATATCCTAAACATTTTTTGCAAGTATTTTGCAAGCAGTTTCTAGGCACTATAAAATACAGAGAGGGAAGTGCCAGGTATTGCACAAGATATTGCACAAGTGGAATTGTACTAAGTCCATTTCCCTTCCCACTTGCACACTGCTGGATTCAAGCTATATTTTATGTAGGCCATGTTTCTGTTGATCTGTTAATTTTTTGCAACACAGTTAAGCACAGGGAATATAAATTGCATGCCAAGAGAGGCCCATACACAAAACCCTTGGTAACTTACCAAACATTTACAGCAATGAAAAAGTTTGATTTTACAAACTGTTCTGCAGATACCAGACAAGCTGACCGGTTCAATGAAGTGTTTGAGGCTGTCCCATTTCTCAGCAAGTGGTTCAGTATTTAGGAGCTCAATACAGTCTATCATTCACAAGTCATGGTTATGGAAGTCCCAAAGAAAGATGTTCACTTACTTTTCCTGATGACTTGATTCCTTTAGCCAGGGAGGCATAGACGATCAACCAAGCCAGAAAGAGAGTGAATACCAAAGGCCCCCTGATTTCACCAGGATATTCGATTCCTGCAGAAATCTTCAACGCAAAGTACCTGAGAGTCAAAGAGCCAACATGAATAGCTACACCCTACCTTCTTCAACTGCACGCTTTTGCACAAACTTCAAGAGAACTTCAATTAAAGGTGCATATTTTAATATCATGACTTTCTGAAATAGGATACACTTGACAATCATTAAACTCAACAGGACATTTGTGATTGTCTCTAGTGAGCTGTGGATAGAACTGACACAGAAAATGACAGTGAGGGTGGTCAGCTGGACAGACAAGAGCTACAGTTTGATTTCAGAGACCTGGACACCTCTGCCACTGACAACCTGTGTGTCTTTGAACTAGTCATTATTTTGATCGCAGCTACAGTTCCCCATCTGTAAAATGGGAGTAACGGTGGCCTATGTCACACAGTTGCTGTCTTAAGTACCAGTTTGTGGGACCAGACAAATAAATAGATAAAGCATCTTCAAAACAGTCCTACTTCAGCATGAATACCATATTTAATACTGCACCACAGATAAAACTGCTTGGGTTGCCAACTACCTGGAGGAAAAAATGTTCTGTTACTTGAACAGAGGCTTGATGAGATGTTATTTACCAGTCAATGATATTTGCCGTCATGTAGTGAAAAGCTTCGGCTGCCCATTTCTACCCATAAAGCCTCTATTAGCAGAACAGGACATGTGCAGACAATGCACTTTGGGAAACTGCTCGGGGAGGCAATGTGCACGCGCTAACGACTTGGACGCCTTGTCCCCGCTCTCCGAGGAAAACAAAGTTAAAGAGCTTTAAAGGAATGTAAATTGCCAGTGGGAGCTGTAAAAATTGACTTATGAGACATCCAGAATAACAAGAAGCAGTTCGGGAAGGACTTGGTGAGAAAACAAACTTTTTCAGCATTTAAGATAAAAAGGGCTGGGCCGAGTCTGAGATAATATGGCGGTAACAGTGAAAAGCTTATCAGAACAACTGGCGCATTTCCAAGCTTTAGTGCTTGACTCCCAGAACAAAATACAAACTTCATTGAGTGAATTAGCCACAGAAATGAAAAACATGGGCTCAGAGATAAAAATAGCAGCTGAAGTGGCGTCTGAAGTTAAGTCTATGGCAAAGGAAAATAGAAAAGAGATTAATTTACTGAAAAAACAATACACAGATTTGTCCAACCGGAATAGAAGAGGAAATATTATCTTATTTGGCATTTCAGAAGAAGTATTAACAGCTGATTTAGAGCAAACCTTAGTGGAATGGTTATTGGTACAAGGGCTGGAAATAGAAGCGGACGAAATTGAGCGTGTCCATAGACTACAAATAAAAAGAACAGGAGGGGAACCACGCCCGGTAATTATGAAGCTTGCGAGAGAAAAGTTGCAGCAGAGAATATTCAAAACTCTCAAGAAAAATAAAGATATGACATTCAAAGGCAGAAGGGTCTTTGTGAAGGAAGACTTCTGCAAGGAGACCCTTTATCAAAGGAGCCAGATGAAACCCTTTGCACAGAAGCTTCACCAAAGCAACATTAAATTCAGCTGGGGATACCCAGCATCATTGGTTATTTACCAAGGAGGGAAGAGGCTCTGTGCAAGGAACCCGGAAGAGGCACGGGAATTACTAGAAACCTTGAGGGTGGAGACGAGGAATGCTGAGACGACACCAATGGATGAATCTTATCAAGCCCAGTCGGAACCAGGAGAAGGGCCATCTACCCGCCAGGATAAGAGGCCAAGGATGTCTCAAGATTAAAATATATTAAGGGAAGTATACAAATGGAACTAAAATAACATGTAAAATGATTATTAGCATAACTCGGGGAGTGGAAGGTAGATAATATAAAAAGGAATAAGAAATCCAATAGCTGGCCAGGGGAACGAAGGGAGAGCAAATGTAGGTTTGAATATGGGTAGGTTCGAATATTACAGATGCTGACACTGAACGTCAATGGTTTGGGTTCAGATTTAAAAAGGTATAAACTTTCTAGATTTCTTAAACAACAGAACACAGATATAGTATGGCTCCAGGAAACACATAAGGCAAAAAAAGACAAAAAACCTTTGATTAAAGATCCTAACTGGGTGACTTTGGCAGAAGCACGGGGAACAGCAAAGGCAAGAGGTGTGGCAATTTTGGCCCATAAAAGAAATGATATAAAAATAACAGAAGTGATAAGAGATGTTGAAGGGAGATACTTAATGATTAAGTGCCTGGTTGAATATAGATTAACAACATTGATAAATATATATGCTCCAAATACAGGATTATTTGGAGCATATATAGATTAACAACATTGATAAATATATCAAGGATAATATAATTAATTGGAAACAATGGGATTTGATAGAAGCGCATGAAGCCCACGGACTAGTGCCTAAACCCACATATTTCTCAAGTAGACACAAAACAACCTCTTGTCTAGATTATGTATTTATTAACAGGGCAGGTACCTGGGAAGTAAAGAAAATAACTACCCATCCAATATGGATCTCTGATCATGCCCCAATAAGTGTGGAAATCATACTAGAGCATAAACAAATTAAAAGACCATGGAGATATAACAATTTGATTATGGCTAGGGAAGAGAATATACGATATATTAAGGAGCAAATAAAGCTGTACTTTCAAGAGAATAGGGGGACAGTGGAAACAAATGTATTATGGGATGCAGCTAAGGCGGTAATTAGAGGGCAATGTATTATGAAAGAGAAGGAGATAAAGAAAAAATGGTATGCTGATAGAAAAGAGAGATTACAGGAATTGGGCAAACTGCAAAGTGATCAAGTACAGAAATTCTGCCCCAACAGACATAGGTTAATTAGGGAATTACGGCAAAAGCTAGATGTTCTCGACTCCAGGGCATTATGGAAAAAGCAGGTTATGGTGAAAAATGAATATCAGAGAAACACACTCAAGTCGGCCAAAAGACTGGCAAACTATTTGAGAAAGAGAAAAGTGGGGCAAAGGGTGAGGAGTATTAGGACAGATAAAAAAGTGACACAGAACCCAGAGGAGATAAAAAGGGCATTTGAAAATTTTTATAAGAAATTATATGAGGGGGGAAAAGTAAGGGAGTTTGAGGAGGAAATAGAGATAAGGTTAACAGAAAATGAAAGGGGAAATCTTGAAAAGAATATAACGAGAAGGGAGATTGAGCAGGTGATAGACAGTTTAAGGACAGGCAGGTCCCCAGGGCTGGACGGCTTCTCAGCAGAATTTTACAGGGAAATGAAAGAGGTTCTGGCCCCAGAATTACAGGAAGTCTTTAATAATATACTGAAAGGAGGAAAGGCCCCAGAAACATGGAGGAAGGCAGAAATAACAGTAATCCCAAAACCTAGGAAAGATCTCCAAGAAGTGGGCTCATACAGACCAATTAGTTTACTAAATCAAGATTATAAAATTTTTGCCAAGATAATGGCAAACAGATTTAAGAATATTATTCCAAAAATAATAAAAGAAGATCAACCAAGAAGAACAATGGGAAGCAAAAATAGGGAAGATTAAGAAAAAGTGGCATTTGTATTTAAAATGGGTCATGGAAGGTCAAAGGTCTGACGTTCAGTGGAAGTTCCTAAGTTTGTGCCCCTGGCTAGAAAGGATAAGTAGTTAAGAAGGGGGGGAGGATAGAAAATAAGAAAAGGCAGAATAATACGTGAGAAAAATAACCATCCAAGTTATACTAAAACTCCCCACCTCTGATTACAGAACAGGAATAATCTTCAGTGACGAATTTAAAGAGAAAAAGGAAGAAGAAACGTATGAAGGACGGGAGGAAATAGAGGAAGCAAGAAAGACAGAAGGAGGACTTATATAAAGGACTATTGCCGAAGATACAGAAACAGCTATAAACTGAGGAGGGAGGAGGGAGGGTAGAGTATACAATACGTGTGGGAATAGGGATGTGCTTGATTGTAACATGGAAAAGATATAATTAAAAAAAAACTTGGGGAAACTGCTCCAGCCAGCCACGGCAGCTGGGAAGGATGCAGGCCACTGCTCCAGCCTGGTGGTGGTGGTGGACACCAGCAGCCACTGAGAGATCAGCCATGGTTGTAGATGCTGGCAGCCACTGATAGCCCAGAAGTGAGAGACGAGGATGCCAGCAGCTGCTGCAGGCCCAAGCACAGCAGTGGATGCTGTCAGTCACTCCAGGCACCAGTGCAGCAGCAGGGGACATCAGCAGGTGCTGTCAGCCCAGGGGTGCAGGCGGATGCCAGCTGCCAGGCTCAGTGTTGGTTGGTGTGGTCTGGAGCTTCGATGGCTTAGCAATGGGGAGATACGGGGTTCCCCCCGAGTCTCGCAGGTCTCCCCCCTTGTGTTTTATTATTATGACTCCATAAGACTGTTATGCCAGGTATGGAGTTACTTTTAAGGACTGGAAACAGGAGGAGGAGGAGGAGGAGGAGGAGATTGGATTTATACCCCGCCCTTCACTACCCAAAGGTGTCTCAGAGTGGCTTACAAACTCCTTTCCCTTCCCCTCCCCACAACAGAGAACTCTGACAGAAACTGCTCTTTTTTCAAGAACAGCTCTTATCAGAGCTACAGCTTTCCCAAGGTCATCCAGCCAGGTGCAAGTGGAGGTGAGGGGAATCAAACCCAGTTCTCCCAGATTAGAGTCCGCGCACTTAACCACTGCACCAAACTACACCAAACTGACTGAAAGACAACTCTGCGGGACCTGTATCCAGGTTCAGAGTTCACTGTCAAGCCACAAAGACTACTGAAATGCCAAATGATGTGTTGTATTTCTAAGGCAGTATTTCTCAGATCCTATCACATTCCATCTGTCTATGCATCCTCAGCTATCACCTCACTAGTGAAGTTCCAGCATTTGAAGGACAAGTGACATAGACACTCAACAATGATTACTGTGGAAAAAGCATTCTTAGAAAATATAATTACTGTTTTCTGTTCAGTGACTAATTGCATGTATTACACAGTAAGCTTCGTGTTTTGAATTCTTTTCAAATGGTTAATTATACACTTTTAAAAACATCTTACTTGAAGTACTCTTCGCTGCCACTGACAAAAGTTTTGTTGACACGGCTGGTGTAGTTTACCATTGTCAAGTTTGGATAGGCACTCATACAGAAAGTTGAGTTCTTTATTTGTAACTTGGGGTGGTCACCAATGATGCAGGAATCTGGCAAGACACAATGAAAATAATAAACAACAGGCTAAAACGTTTCCTAAGACTCTTGAGACATAATGGTTAAAAGTATCTTACACACACCCATCTAAGCTTTATTAGCATATTTCCTTCAAGGATGTAATAAACTTCAGTGCTGATCTGAAATATACACTCTTCCTGCCAGCATTAATCATATGAGCTTTTATTTTTACTGGAAGATATTATTTGCCTAGGACTGTTGTGGGTTTTTGTCAAAACTTCAAATGAACTTGAGTACAAAAGGGGGGGGCAATTAATTGTACGTCTCAGTTAAAGCAACCCAAACTGGTTCATGTTTCTTCAGGAACGATTCTCACAGTCTTCAGTGGGGCTTCCTCCCCCAGAAAGTAGGCACAGGATTACAGCTAGTCCTTTTGACTCCCCTGGGATTGATTATATCAAACCTTGCTCTGCTGCATGTTGGTGTGCAAAGTGTACCAGGGCAGATGGCTGTCCAGGGGTGGTGACCCCACCCCTCCATTTACTTGATCCAAAGGAGAGACTGGGGGGGATAACCTCGCCTGGGCACCGCTGAGGTGGGCAGCCCAACCATAGGCTGCAAAGAAGTGAGCAAGGATGAGGCCATGCCCAGAAATTCACCAACAGCAGCCTGAGAGCCCAGCACATGCCTCAGAAGTGTGATGGAGCTCAGGCAGGTGCTGGAGAAGACTCTTGAGAGTCCCTTGGACTGCAAGAAGATCAAATCAGTCAATCATAAAAGAAATCAACCCTGACTGTTCCCTGGAAGGCCAGATAATGAAACTGAAGCTCAAATACTTTGGCCACCAAATGAGAAGGGAGCACTCACTGGAGAAGACCCTGATGCTGGGAAAGATTGAAGGTCAAAGAAGATGGGGACAGCAAAGGATGAGATGGTTAGACAGTGTCATAGATGCAACGAACATGAAGTTGAGCCAACTTCAGAGGATGGCAGAAGACAGGAAGGCTTGGCATGATCTGGTCCATGGGGTCGCGAAGAGTCAGACTCGACTGTGCGACTGAACAACAAAAAGGAGTCCTTCTGGGGCTTTGTGCAGGCAGACAGGGCAGCCTCTTAAAACCTCAGGGACGTGGCACAAGAAGGGAGAGCCCAGTCAGGGAGGCCATTGGCCCAGATTCCCTTCACTCACCATGGGGCCCCCCCTGAAGAGAAGGCATTGGGGGGTCCAGGGTCAGCCCACCACCATATAATCCTTTATCAATCTGGCCCATTGAGGGCTGAGGAAGAAAGACTAGGTCATTCCTTTGCAGCCAAAGGACTGGGTACAAGGCTGGGGAGGGGGGGTGCCTTTGGTTTTAGCTGAACTCTCATTTTCTCCCTAAATTGAGGCCCAACCCTCCATTTTGCTGAAGAAAGGATGCTGCGTCTGTAAGAAGTCAACACCGTCCTGCAAATGGGCAGTTGGCTTAAGTAAAACCATACACCCTTCATACATAAAATAATCACTCCAGATATCATATTATAAGACCCTGCTTGGCCTCAGGGTGACCCTAAACACCAAACAGGAAACCAGTCTGGAAAAGGTATTTCGTAAGTGATTTAAAAGGCTGATTTGCAAGACACTCCTCTATCACCCCAAAAGGTAATAACAGTGGATTTCTTGGGGAAAACAGCAGTTTGTTTTGCTTAACCTCTTTCATCCCTAAACCTGATTTTCCTCTTCACACATTCATTCTTTTGAGTATAACCCTAGCCCCTGATAATATCTCTTCCATGCTACACTTGAGGGTCATTAAAACCATAAAACATCTCTGGGGAAACAACCAAACTCAGGCTCAGTTGTTTGATCTCTCTGTCGGGGAGAGAGAGCCATTTGGCATTATACAAATCCTTGCGAACCTTCCTGTAAACATATAAACATTATTGTCCTTTTGATGCAAGCACATCAGCATACTCTAAGGCAAGGGTGTCGAACTCATTTGTTATGAGGGCCTGACATAAATGAGACCTTGTTGGGACAGGCCATGTGTGTCATAAAATGTAATGCCAGGTAGCAAAGATATAAACTTTATAAAGGCCCCCTGATCCAGCCCCCAGGCCGCATGTTTGACACCCCTGCTCTAAGGTATCATTTTTGGGTATAAATATAAGGGCTCTGTCCCATTGCAGTGTGCATGCATGTTCCTGACATCAACCACACACCAAGCGCTGGTCGCTTTTCTTTTCCACTGACTTGAATTTACAAGACTGATAAATATTGCCCAACCTAAAATACTATTTCCTGCTACCATCTTTATTTCCTCTTAGTGAGATTCTCAAGTGTGCATTGTGTGCTTGTATTCACTTTATTAGTTCTCAATAAAAACACTACTAGTAGAACATCAGCCTGATTTATTTAAGAGTTCTCTGAAGGAAGGATTCTGGTATACACAGGTAAAGGTACCAGTTACCCACCTCTCGCTAAAGCTAAATTCCCCAATCAACCAATCAATTAATTATTAAACCATTCTGGGTAAAACATCCACCCTAGATTCCAGTCTAACAGTGGTATAAGGGAATCCTTGGGGATTCTCCACATCCTGTACTGGATTATCAGAAATTAACAATGCTACTACTGAAGTGAAGGGGGAGAGAAGAATCAAGGAGAAATCTACTTATTGTCAGACACAGGTAGTGAAACGTTGTACAATATTAGGAGGGACAGGAATGATGCACAAAAGGCTATGAGGGTAGGATCATCATTAAGGCCCACAAAATGGGCTCACAACCCCAAACATTGTACAACCTTGCACTAACTAGGTGTGACAATAAGGAGATTTCTCCTTGATTTTAGGGGCAAGTAGATGGAGCCATAAAGTGCTGTAGTCACTCCTGCAGGGTAGAGTTACTAACCTCCAGGTGGTATCCAAGGAATCTCCTGCTATTACAATTGATCTCCAGATAACCAAGATCAGTCCCTCTGGAAGAAAGGGCTGCTTTGGAGGGTGGACTCTATGGCATTGTACCCTGCTGAGGCCCCTCCCCTCCCCAACCCCCCCTCCCCAGGCTCCACCCCCAAAATCTCCAGGTATTTCCCAACTCAGAGCTGGCAACCCTGCCACAGGGAAAGCCTCTGCCTTTAACTCAAAAGCTAAAACTACGCTGTGGGGAACCAGAACTGCAGATTAATCATTTGTAATTTGTGGTTTATGCTACTTACATACTTAAGTTCTCTAGGGAGATGAAAGATGTTGCTTTTTAAATATATCCCACCCTCAGCCAGAAATTGGTTCCCGAGAAGACTAATAGAATCACTGAGAAAACACATTAAACATCGATGATAATCATACTTAAAATCTCACTCCCCAACAAAAAAAGTAGATTAATCAGACTATAAACAATAAAATCCACTACGAGAAACATTACACAGTCGTCAGTCACATAAAGTATAATACATTAGAAAAATTAAAATTAAAGTAGCAGAGATTAAGAAGAAGAAGAAGAGATTGGATTTATACCCCGCCCTTCACTACCCAAAGGAGTCTCAGAGCAGTTTACAATCTCCTTTCCCTCCCCCTCCCCACAAGAGACACCCTATGAGGTAGGTGGGACTGAGAGAGCTTTTGTGCTCTCTGAGAGAACTTTTAACTGACCCAAGGTCACACTAGTAGCTGCATGTGGAGGAGTGGGGAATCAAACCTGGTTCTCCCAGATTACAGTCTGTGCTCCTAACCACTACACCAAACTGGTTTCCAGAGGGGGCAGAAATAGAACATTACCTAAAAATCTGAGAAGAATAAATTGTCACCTGATCCCAAAAGGATAACAAATTTGAAACTATATGGAATGCAGAAAATTGTTTATGAGGTATGAGATGGTATTTGTACAATCATGAAAGGTTTACAATGCAGATAAGAATTTGTGGGATGTAATAATTCCTAGAAAGATATGATGGTCCAAAATGTGGGGGAAATAATGAAAGAGAAAAAGGGAAGATGTTAAAATGAAATGAAATCTGAAGAATATGTTATTCTGTGTTGTTAGGAAAAGTACATGTTGTAGAAGAAGTTTGTATATATGAAATCTGTGTAACTCCATATGAGGGCCTGACATATATATATGTGAAATCTGTGTAACTCCATATGATATTGGCTTTCTAAACGAAATAAATAAATTATAAACGGGAAAAGGAGAAAAAAAGAAAAAATTGAAACTAAGTTAGTATTGATGAAAAAGCATTCCAAAGCTGGGGTACTACAACCAAAAGGCCCCTACCAACTGCTTTATTTCCAGGAAAGGAAGGAGCCAGAGCAGGACTTCAGTTTAATTAATTACTTATTGTATGACATTGTGTGTGGAATAGCCAGGAGATCCTGAAAGTGATTGATTGGCTGCTGAGGATGTAGCTCTTTCTAGCACCACTAGATGGCGAGTGATACTTATTTTAGGCTGAGAGTGCTGTGACTTGCCTAAGGTCTACCCAGGTAGCTTCAAGTAAGGAAATTGGGGAATCAAACCCAGTTCTCCAGATTATAATCTGACGCTCTTAGCCATTACACCAAACAGGCTCTCAGAGGACTTCAACTATCTCAACAGAAGGGCAGGAATTATGGAAGAAGATGATCCCTTAGGTTCCCTGATCCAGATGATTTAGGCCCAGCTTTAAAGGCAGAAAAAGTAGTAAATATATACAAATTCATCTGGTGACACATTCATTCTATAAATTTTGATGACAGGACTTTTATCAGCTCCATCTAAGATTGCCAACAACCTGGAGAAAAAAGTGTCCTGCCCCTAGCAGTAGCTTAAGTAAAGGTAAAGGTCCCCCTTGCTCGAAAGCCAGTCGAATCCGACTCTAGGGTTGCGGTGCTCATCTCCGTTTCAAAGCCAAAGAGCCAGCGCTGTCCGAAGATGTTTCCGTGGTCATGTGGCCGGCATGACTAAACACCAAGGCGCACGGAAGTTACCTTCCCACCGAAGTGGTACCTATTTATCTACTTGCAATTTCTTGCTTTCGAACTGCTAGGTTGGCAGGAGCTGGAACTAGAGACGG